TGATCCGTGTATGTGATGCAATGTTTATAAATATGTTTGTACTTGTCAAAGAGTTTCAACAAATTATTTTTCAATCCAAAATAATGAAAATAACCCTCTCCTATTTTTGTCAAACTGGATTTAGATGGTATTTTCAATAATGTCCTAGCATCTGTTGGAAGATCCTTTATTTCGAGTTCAGATTTGAACCATTTCAATAATTCGGTAAGTGCTGTATGTGTCACATTATTTTGTAGTGCCCATGTTTTCAAAAACTCTTTGGAACTAACAGAATGTCTAGCGTTCTGCCCCACAACTACGGTATTTTCAATTGTTGATTCATTATGACCATCACTTTCAGAATGTACACTTTCTTCATAACTAGAATCGGAATAACTGTCTTCACTATTGTCTGATATGTTTTGATTTTGATCGTCGACACTTCCAATGTAACTTTCAAAACTTTTCCAATCTTCAGAATGATTGGATGTTGCTTATATGAATCAGATGTTGACATGAATGTGTTATTTTCATTCTTATCCAAAGATGTGTGATTAATGTCACTTCCATTACCTTCATAGTGACAATTTGATGATAATGTAGGTACATCTCTAGCAATCAATTCAGCATTAACAATATTCAATGCGACTTCACATTTTTTTTTGCCAATCTGTTTGATTGACGTTTGCTTTTTCTTTTCATTTGCCAAGACATAATAAAATAACAACAAAAATTAATTTACTCATCTGTGTTGTCCATTTCATTAATTGCACTATAACAATCACTTTTGTAAACAAATTCAAATTATTATAATTTCTCAGTTCTCCCGTCGACATCTACGGTTCACGATTTCAGTAATAACAAATTTAAGATGGCGTCGAACCCGGTTCTCTGACGGAAAAAAGTGTCACTTGTCATTTTGGTGGATGAATAAATCAGAGTGAAATATTTGAATGATACCTTTATAACATTGCCAGTAATTTTATCATTAAATCGCCATCCCTATAGAATTCAAAAAACGTGGGTAAAAGCTGCTTTGTTTTCAAAACTAATTAGTTGAACAAAACACGTTTTGCTAATGAATCATGCTTTATTTAACGTGTTATACGTTCAGTGTAGATAAGAAAGTGATTATAATTATCCATTTGTTTAACAAGCAAGAGTTAACTTTGTCATATTTGATGGTAATATTTTAGGTTAATGCCAATGACCTATCTGTAAAAATTGATCGCTGGCAAAATATTGGGGTCAGAACACTGGGCCAACACTGATCAGGTTAAAGAATGCCGTGCCGGTAGAGCCGTTACATTATGTGTGACGACCCGACGATATATCACCGGTGCCGTCAATTCGCCGACAATTCCGTCGATGGCCCAGTGCATTGCCAACTTTCAATGTTTGCTGGGAAGCTACAATTGTTTGATTGAATTTCGTCTCAAATCAAGAAATTTAGAACATGGAATATTAGCTTCTCTATCATCTTCACTGACGAAATGAATTTGCAGAAACTGTGCATCCTGCCCAAGTTTCGATAATATACTTCCAATTAAATGATAGACTTGTCCTTGAACTTTAAAAGTTGGTAAAAAATCAGCTTCTTTTATTTGTTTTCCACCAAAGGAATTCATTTGAAAATAGGCATTATATTTCCGGATATCCATGAAGTGTACATGATTTGGGTGTAAATCATTAACCAGACTGTAAAGTGGTTCAGGCAGTTGTTTAAACGGCTCAAGTTGTACTATACCGGCGCTACAACACATGCCAGGTGTCTCATCTTTCCACTTCGAGACATTACACCACTGACACTTGTACATCATAGATTTGAATGCATCATGAGAATTGTTTATGAAATTTAGTAAATTTTCATGTTCAATTACCTAAAAGAATGTCTAAGTATTAACAACATTCGGTACCTAACGAATCTTAAATGATTCAAAGTAATTTCAGACGGGACCCTGTAGATTATATTTCAGAAATCTTATATTCATTATAATAATAAATCTACGATTCAAAGTAATTTGAAATTTCCAATACATATGTAATCGTTTTAGATATCTGAAATAGGTATGCTGGATAATTGAATAATTGATTTTAATGATCCGTAATAGTGTAATATACCTTTCNAGAAGTTAAAATAGCTCAACTGATATGTGAACGTTATTGTATCCCAATTATTGAAGAAAA